TCTGGATTGGTTCCATATCTTAGCTATGGTAAATAATGCTGCAATAAACATAGTTGTGCTGGTGGCTTTAGAATAGTGTTGTTTGTGATTGTTTGGGTCAATGCCCAAAAGTGGATTGCTGGGTCATAGGGGAGCTCTATGTGGAGTTTTTTTAAATAGATTTATCTTTTTTTTTTATTTATTTCTTTTATATTTTCTTATTTTTTATTTTGATATTTTTAAGAGCTGAGGAAGAAAGAGCTGGGAAAGAGCTGAGAAAGACTGGGAAAGAGCTGGGAAAAGAGGTCGGAAAGAGGTGGGAAACAGAACTGGGAAAGAGAGCTGGGAAAGAAAGAGCTGGGAAAGAGAGCGTCTGGGCAAGCAAGAGAGCTGGGAGAGAGCTGGGAAAGAGTTGGGAAAGAAAGCTACGAAAGAGAGAGAGAGGGGAAAGAGAAGAGAGTTGGGAAAGAGAGCAGGGAAAGAGAGAGAGTTGGGAAAAAGAGCTAGGAGAGCTGGGAAAGAGCTGAGAAGAAAAGAGCTGAGCCTATGTGGAGTTTTTTCAGGAACTTTCATACTGCTTTCTGAAGAGCACACCATAACTTGATTGCTGTTTTTGTTGTTGTTGTTGGTTTGTTTGTTTGTTTTTTTTGGTGCTGCTACTAGAGCTTGAACTTGAGGTCTCAGTCTACTTACAGCTGGTACTCTACCACTTGAGCCATGCCATTGGTCCAGTACTTTGCTGAATAATTGGAGATGAGGTCTCATAAACTTTTCTGCCTGGCCTGGCTTTGAACTACAATCCTCACATCTCAGCCTCCAGAGTAGCAACTAACACAGATGCAAGTTACTAGTACCCAGCCTGATTTTCTTTCTTGTTCACACTCACTGAAGTTAATTTGCAATGAGTATATGTTAGAGCTATTGAGCCAATTGTTAGACATATTCTAGAATCTAGATTATATCATCATATATGATTATTTCATATTTTTCCTTTCCTTCTGCATCTTTTCTTTTTTTAACTAGTCTTGGTGTTTGGGAACTCAGGGCCTGGGCACTGTCCCTGAGCTTCTTTTGCTCAAGGCTAGTACTCTACCACTTCAGCCACAGCTCCCCTTCCAGCTTTTTCTGTTTATGTGATTCTTAGGAATCAAACCCAGGATTTCATGCATGTTAAGCAAGCACTCTACCACTGAGCCACATTCCTAGCCCTGCATCTTTTTTTATACCACAGTTCCTAAGATAAAGTCAACATTTGGGTATTCAAATGTTAGTTGCCATGAGTAACTGCAATAAATTATATATTAATTAAGTGTACTGTAAGACCTTGCTGGTAACCATTTCTCTTTATTTGACATTATAGGATGTCACTGTCAGTGACACTAATAAAAATATATATATTAAAATTTTGGTATATGGTTTCAGAAGGTCTGACAATAACAGAAAGTTGAAACACTGCCACTAATAATGACCACTTCTACTCCCAGTGAGTTATGTTTGTTTGCTTTATCTCATTCTGGAAAAAACAGAAAATATAGAACATCCACAAGAGTTTGAATAAAGTTTGGCTTTTCTTTTATATATAAACTATATAACTTCCATGCATTTTTTGCAACTGTAATTCTTTTTCTTTTTCATGGTATGTAGTCTTCCAAACTTGCTTTTATGTAAACATAAATTCTTTTTTTGGGGGGGGGGGGTCCGGTCGTGGGGCCTGAACTCTGGGCTTGGGCACTGTCCCTCAGCTCTTCAGCTCAAGGCTAGCACTCTACCACTTGAGCCACAGCGCCACTTCTGGCTTTTTTCTTTTTGCTTATGTGGTGCTGAGGAATCGAACCCAGGGCCTCAGGCATGCAAGGCAAGTGCTCTACCACTGAGCCACCTTCCCAGCCCATAAATTCTTAACCTAAAAATGTGAGCATACATTTATAGTCTATTATGATTGTTACTATAAACATAAGATCTCTTCTTCTGAAGATGATCACTTTTGAACAGGGCATGGTAATACATGCATGCTATCCAGTACTAATGAAGTTGAGGCAGACTGTGAATTCAAAGCCTGACAGTGCTATATAGCAAGTTTTCAGGCCAGCCTGGGCTATATAGTAAAATCTTAACTTAGAAAACCTAAAAAAAAAAAAAGCTCATCTTTGCTTGGTGCTGATGCTTCATGCCTGTAATCCCAGCTATTCAGAAGGCTGAGATCTGAGGATCACAGTTCAAAGCCAGTCCTAGCAAGAAGTCTGTGAGACTCTTATCTCCAATTAATCACCAGAAAACCAGAGGTGATACTGTGGCTCTAAGTGGTAGAGCACTAACCTTACTAGCCTTGAGTGAAAGAGCTCAGAGACAGTGCTCAGGCCGTGAGTTCAAACCCCACAACCAACTAAATAACAACAAAACAAAAACAAAAAAAAACTCTCTTTTGAAGAGATGGCTAATGAGGACAAGGGGTAAAGCTGGAACAATGTCTGGAGGGAAATATCTTGTCAGGACCTTAAAATTATTCTTTAGCTCCATGAATAAGATTGTGCTGCTTCCCATTTTGATGGAACTCTCTTTCAGGGTAGAGGTAATACCCTTTACATCAGTGCTTCTTGGGCTTGTTTAAAAATATACTATGCTACTATGTCTAGTGAATAATCTTCTTGAAAAGCTGAAATGCATTAGCCTAAATTCCGTTCTTTTCTTTCTTCCCTTCTGACATTTTTCCTGACACACAACATTGGGTATTATCAACCTATACCACAGAGGTGTTTATTTACTAGGTAATCAGGCATTTGCTGCAATGCTTAACTAATCAGCATTTACCTCTACTTGCCATCTTCATCCTCATTTCCCTTTTGAGAATCTCCCTTTGTGCATAAATCCTAGGAAGAGTCACTAGGCCTAGCCTTAGGTGCCATTATATGGAAGCTGTTTCAGAACTTTCAATCTTGAGTCATGATGCAATGACAAGGCTATAACTAAGGACCGTGACAGTGCCAGAATGCAAACCACATTTTTTTAAAAAGTCATCATACTGTATGATTTTTGTTGTGGTTCTTCTGAAGTTTTCTTGGCCCAAACTTTGCTTCATTCTGATGTCCTTCCAGTGAATTGTTTAGTTTCCTGAATGACTCCACTTGATTGCTGTTGCTTGCAACCCAGAACTATAGCCAATGTGGTGTATCTATACTAGAGTCTAGAAACTCACAGATGACTCTGATGCAGGGTGGTTCTCAAGCATACCTTGAGAAATCCTATTCTATGTCGTGGTATTCTACATATTATACATAGGCCCTTGTGTCATGCAGAAGGTATTCAAAATGTGTTTACTTGATGAGTGAACAGATAGCTATTGGATTTCTTGTAAAGTAGCCTAATCTGAGATCTAGCAATGCCAGAATTTTATCAAATAAGGATTGATTTGGGGGATGATGATTTCCTATTTTTTTGTTAGATTTATGTGCTGGTTTTACTTCATTATAGTTGTAAACCACAATGAAGTTTAGGAAGGACGTAAAAAAAAATCATGTTAGGGGCTGGGAAGGTGGCTCAGTGGTAGAGCGCTTGCCTTGCATGCCCAAGGCCCTGGGTTTGATTCCTCAGCACCACATAAGCAAAAAGAAAAAAGCCGGAAGTGGTGCTGTGGCTCAAGTGGTAGAGTGCTAGCCTTGAGCTGAAGAGCTGAGGGACAGCACCCAGGCTCAGAGTTCAGGCCCCATGACCGGACCCCCCCAAAAAAAATCATGTTAAATCTTGCCAGTAATGAAGAAATGAGGTTTCTGTAGGTTTAGCCATACGGTTTTGTTTGGCTTTTGTTTTTGTTTTTTCCAGATGATGGTACAGATCTTTGAAATATTTGTTTATTTCTTCAGTATTTTATATACTAAAAAATAAAATGAAACCTAAGCAGACAGCTAATTAAAATCTTTTTTGTTGTTGTTCTTAAGTAGGTTGAAAAGTATGCCAGTAGGTAATGGAATTTTTCATGACTTTGGCTTTGATATGACTTCTTCAAGTTAGAACAAAGATGATGCTTGGCTACTGTTCTTTGTAGAGCTTTTCCATTCATGATTTCTATGGCGCTCTTTGTAAGTCTTTCTAAATACTGGTGGAAAGAAATCTTACTAATAGAGTCTAGCTGGGCACTGGTGGCTCACACCTGTAAACCTAACTACTCAGGAAGCTGAGATCTGAGGATCATAGTTTGAAGCCAGCCTGGGCAGGAAAGATTGAGAGACTTATCACCAAATAACCACAAAAAGCAAGAAGTAGAGCTGTCGTTCAAGTGCTGTAGTACTAAGCATGAGCACAAAAGCTCAAGGACAGCTCCTAGGTTCTGAGTTCAAGGCCCAGTTCCAGCAATGTTTAAAAAAGAAAAGAAAAAGAAAAAACAGAGTCTAATAGCCAGATGTCAGTGGCTTACACCTATAATCCTATCTACTTGAGAGCCAGAATAGGAGGATCATGGTCCAAGGTCACTTTGGGTAGAAAAGTTCATGAGTATCCCTGTTTAACCTATGACTAAGCACAGTGATATGTATCTTTCATCACAAGCTACAGGGGAGGCTGACATTGGGTGGATTGTGGTGCCAGGCCAGCCAAGGATGAAAAGTCTACAAGACTGGCCCCAGGGAAGGGAACCTGGACATGTGGCACACACTGGCATGTGTGTGTCATCCCATCAATATCAGGAAGCCTAAAGGAAGACAAATGCACAGGTGGGTAAGAAGACCTGATCCTAAAAAAATAACCAGTGAAAAACAGGGGAGGAGGTATAACTCAGTGGTATGGTCCTAGCCTAGCAAGGGCTTCAAGGTGCTGAGTTCAAACTCTTGATATCACTAAAAGAAAAAGTAATAGAGTCCTCTTTAAGACCTCAAGAAATACAGATCAGTACCCATGTATACCAAAGACCTGAGGTTAGTTGACATTAACACATATTTTTGTGTTTATCGACCATGAATCCCCTCTATGAATTTCTGTCTTTTTGTTGTTGTTGTTGTTGGTCACGGGGCCTGAACTCTGGGCCTAGACACTGTCCCTCAGCTCGTCAGCTCAAGGCTACTGCTCTACCACTTGAGCCACAACGCCACTTATTTTTTCTGTTTATGTGGTACTGAGGAATCGAACCCAGGGCCTCATGCAGACACTCTACCACTGAGCCACCTTCCCAGCCCAAATTTCTGTCTTTTGAATTTGAGATGCCTACTGAGATAGAGACATAGACAATGGCTTAAGAAGTTGGTCACAGAGTTGGAGTCCTGGTTCTGTAGTAGTCTCACTGCGGTTGTTGACTTGTTTTCTTCTACTTCTTGAATAGGGATCAATTTCCCTTCCCATGTCTATCTCCTGATACATAGCTAGTGCTCAGCTAATGTTTAGTTAATGAGATTCTAATGAATCCTTATTTATTTATTTATTTATTTAGTCAGTTGTAGAGTTTGAACTCTGGGCCAGGGTACTGACCCTGAGCTCTTCAGCGCTCTACCATTTGAGCCAGGGCACCACTTCCAGTTTTCTGGTGATTAATTGGAGATAAGAATCTCATGGAGTTTCCTGTCCAGGCTGGCTTTGAACTGCCACACTCAAATCTCAGCCTCCTGAGTAGCTAGGATTACAGGCTTGAGCCACAAGCACACAGCTTGAATCCTTAATTTGGGGCAGCTCTCAATCTTTCTGAACTTCTTACTTGTAAAATAGACTGGTTATTCTCTGCCATCGTTTCCAGCTCTGATCCTCTGTGATGTCTGATTTGTGTATCCTGAAGCCGACTTGCCTTAGCAGTCTCTCTTGTTTGGTCCATTGAGAAATGCTTTATGAAAAGTGGCTTTTCCAGCTCTGAGTCATTCTTTCTGAAAGTCACATCAAAGATCCTGCAATGTGCCCAGAGAACAATTTGGAGAATTGCCCATTCAGTATTTACCTATATAGTTTTCTGAAGAATTTTTTTTTTGAAACTTCAGCTGCAACAGCAAAAGAGATGGTTTATTGTACTCACGTCACATTCGGCCACAGCTATGAACAGAACTAGTCAGGAATGTCACGGGTCCCAAGCACAGGACCATCAAGGGATGCTTGGTTATGAGCAAGGTGTGTCTTTCAGAGATGGTCTTAGCGATGGAAGTTCTGGATCCACTGGGAAATCACAGCGGCATGCAGTCCAACAACTCAGCGTCCCAGCCTATGGCGTTCCTTATTCCCCCTGAACCTCTAGCCTCGACGGGTGCACATGCTGGTTTACTTGGACCTCTGCCTCATCTTTCTTCTTTTGTGGTTCAGCCTGAGCATTCGCTTCTTCCTCCACAGTTGTTTCTAGGAAGATGGCGCTAAGGCCGAGAGCCTGCGTAATTCTCTACTCCATAAGGGCTATTGAGGTATTTCACATGATATTTCACATGACTTCTTAAGGATTAGCTTCCGTCTTAAGGAAATTGGTGCCTGATCGGGCTGAATTGGCTCCATCTCAAATAGTTCAGAATGATTCAGACAGTGAATTGATGAGCTACCTGGCATTTTAAATCCTGGGGGAGGTCAGGACAACTATCTAACACATACCATGGCTTTTCTTTATTCCTTGTGGTAGAGTGAATCTTGCTTAGAGAATATTGGAAATGTAACAGGGCTGAAATTTCAACATTAATTGCAGGAGGTTAAAATGGGCAGGCTGTGACATAGGGTCAGAAATCTAATTAGGTAGACTCTGAGTTCTTCTCATTCCAGCAGCAACTAAAAGCAAACCCTCTTTTCGGTATAACTTTATCAAAAATGTGCTTCTCAACAATTTAATCTAGTTCCTTATTTATTTATTTACTTCAGTCGTGGGCTTGAGTGCTGGGCCTGGGCTCTGTCCCTCAGCTCTTCTAGTTCCTCATTTATAAAAAGGCTGGAGGTTAAGTAATTTGTTATGTGTGTGTGTGTGTGTATTTGTACTGACACTGTCTCTGAGCTTTTTTGCTCAAGGATGGCCCTCTACCACTTGAGCCACAACACTACTTCTAGCTTTTGGATGGTTAATTGGAGATAAGAGCCAGCTTGGGCTGGCTTTCAAGTCAGGATCTTCAGATCTCAGCCTCCAGAGTAGTAAGTGATTTGCTTTTGAGAGAAGCCACTGGAAGATATCTTAGATTGGCTCTTAATTTTCAAAATAAGAAAATATTCAGGAAAAAAAAAATGCCACAAATAGAGCTGAAGGTATAGGTAGGAAAACCTGCAGCAATAGAATACTTAGCTTTTTAAATTTACAAAGCACGCACAAGCGGATCAGTCCAGCTACTCAGAAAGCTGAGATCTGAGGATCACAGTTGAAGACAGCCCAGGCAGCCAAATCCAAGGGACTCTTATCTTCAATTAATCAACCAATATCTAGAAATGGAGCCACATCTCAAGTGGTAGAATGCCAGCTTTGAGCAAAAAAACTGAAGGAGAGCATCAGGTCCTGAATTCAAGCCCTAGTACTTACACCAAAAAAAAAAAAAACAAAAAACCAAAAACAAAAACTCCATTGCTATATCCTTATCTCAACAGATTTGTGAAACAATCAGTGTAATTTTTTTTAATTTTTATTTTATTTTTTAGGGGTGTCCGGTCGTGCAGCCTGAACTCTGGGCCTTGGCACTGTCCCTCAGTTCTTCAGCTCAAGGCTAACGCTCTACCACTTGAGCCACAGTGCCACTTCTGGCTTTTTTTCTTTTTGCTTATGTGGTGCTGAGGAATTGAACCCAGGACCTCATGCATGCAACGCAAGTGCTCTACCACTGAGCCACCTTCCCAGGCCCCAGTGCAATTTTTTTAATTAACTCTAAATTATAGTGAGGACATTGACATTAGTTAACATTAAGTGACAATTGCAAAACTATAGCTCTCACAGCCTAGATTAGAACTCAAGCCTCTGGCCTTGCACAGTGTGCTCTTTATGTTACAACATACTGCAGACTAAAGACATGACAAATAAATGTGTCAACATCTCTTGGAGCTATGAGTTGAGAGTAGGTAGAAGATTGATGCACATCCTGGTCCCCAACAACATGATTTGGCAAGTGTGTACATTTCCTCAGAGACATCCTATGCTGTCACTGCTCAGAGTGTGAATCATGTACTGTTCCCATTGGGGGAACATTTGGGCACATCATTCTTCCATGTGCTATTTTAGCAATATCAATTTGCTAATGGCAAAGGTAAAATTATCTTGTTAGATCATGAGGTTTTGTCAAGATTTACTCTTGCTGCTTAAAAATCTGTGGGTAACACTGGCTCACACCTGTAATCCTAGCTATTCAGAAGGCTAAGTTCTGATTATCATAGTTCAAAGCCCGCCAGAGCAGGAAAATCTGTGAGCTTCTTATCTCCAATTTGCCACCAAGAAGCTGGAAGTGGAGCTGCGACTCAAGTGGTAGAGCACCAACCTTGAGTGAAAAAGCTAAAGGATAGTGCTCAGATGCTGGCTTCAAGCCCCAGTACCAGTACAAGAAAAAAGAAAGAAAGAAAAGAAGAGAAAACCCTTTGGGTATTCTTTGTAAGATTTTACTTAGCTTAATGTGTAAGAAAGCTTAAAGGTAAGTTTTGTCCTATTTTAAAGTCAATGCTTTTTTCTCTCATTATATTCTCCCCTTCTATCTTCAACTTTTATCTATTCCCTAATATGTATTTAAATCAACTTTGTATGTAAATCAAACTTTAAAAGAAATTAATTTATACATGAAAACATAAGATTCAACCATAAATAACTGGTTAGAATTTTGGACATTAGGTTGCAAAAATGAAAATTAAAAAATTAAGCTCTGAAAGGGAATAGATGTATGATCCTTTCCAGTTCAGAAATAAATCAGTTTGAGGGTTGAAAGTCACATTTGGTGAATTGACCTTTTGTTGGTACACTAAGCAAACACCCTAGGCTCCTTAAAGGAATTCAATTTGTGCACTATATGGACTACAGAGAAATCACAGAACAAACCCAAAATATCTGATTAGAACATTTTAAGAGAATTACATTGTTCGAGAAATTACTGTTGTATTTATGAACTGGGGTTGGCTGGCATATTTCCAAATATTTAAGAAACTTGCCAGGCACTGGAGGCTCATACCTTAATCCTAGCTATTCAGGAGGCTGAAATCTGAGGATTGTAGTTCAAAGTAAACCCAGGCAAGAAGGTCCATGAAACTTATCTCCAATTAACCACCAAAAAATTGAAAGTGGAGCTATGGTTCAAAGTGGTAGAGCACTAGCCTTGAGCAGAAGAGCTCATGAACAGCACCCAGGCCCTGAATTCAAGCCCCATGACTATCAAATGTACTCATTACTTGACTTATGAATTGGTAACCATGAGGTACAATACCTTAATAATAATAACAATAACATTATCTTTTTTAAAAAAGTAACTGTCTAGATATCTTTGGCTTCAAAAACAAAATAGAATTAGGATAATATTTGAGGTAAGGAAGAAAAAGAAGAGGTCATGGAAAATGTTCAGATTCTTCTCTTTACTTTACCAAATACAACACTATATGAAGACTCTGTGTATCTTTCTGCTTCTTGGGAAAAACTACAAATGAGAAAGACAAAACCACAAAAAATTATGCCTTAAGATACAAACTCATTTCTCTCTTTTGTGAATGGAGTATGGAAGTATGATGTCCAGGGTCAAGACACAAACTTTTTCTCTTTCCCTCTCTTCCCTTCATTCATTCATTCATTCATTCTTTTATTTTCTTTTTTCTAGGATTTGAACTCAGGTCTTGGTGTATATTAGACAGGTTCTCTACAGAATGAGCCAGGCCTCCACTTATTTTGCCCTTATTTTTTTCTTCAGCAAATCCTTTTTAGGGCATAAATTCACAAAATGGGTGAATTTTTTTTGATGGTACTGAGTATTGAACCCTGAGCCTCTTACTTGTGAGGCAGGCCATGTGCTCTACTACTGGAACTCTGCACCCAGCCCTTTTTATTCTAGTTACTTTTATTCCAGTTATTTTTCATATGCAGTATGGATTTCAATCCTTCTGCTGATGAATTTTGGATGAGAGGCAACATTCATTGAGATAAAGTCTCACTAACATTTTACCCAAGCTGGACTTAAACTGTAATACTCCCCATTTCTACCTTCTGAGTGTCTGAGATTACAGGTGTGAACTATTTCATGTGAGTAGAAATTTTTAAATTTTTCTAGCATGTGGTTGGATTAGTCATCACTGGTTGGATAAATTCTTGTTGAATATCTACGCCCTTAGGGAGTTCAAGTTGGTGATTACAACTTACTGATATTTTTTTCATCCCCACAGATAACAGTACCATTGTACTCTGTGATTTAAGAACCAGGAATTTATTATTAATAGACATGGTTGGTCTACCAAGAATCACATGAAGGGAGCACAGGCTTAGGACTTAGAAAACATCATTATCAGCTCTGTTGATGAGTATCTGTGCCTTTGAGAAGATTACTGAGCATCCTTTAATTTCAGTTTCATCCTCTGAGAATGGAGAATAATGCCTACCTTTCAAGGCTGAGAATTAAATGAAATAATGCAAATGCTGTGCTTGGCACACAGAAGGCATTCAAATCTGGTTGAAATTATTATAATTATTGTTAATTGTTGTGCTATTTCCAAGAGTGAATTAGGTTTACACAGTGCTTCAGTGGCTTCATGTAAGAGCTTATACAGAACTTCTCTGATCCGCATACTGTAATGTGGTTCTTTGTTCTGTCAGACAGGTGTTTTAAAGCATCACACCCAGCCTTCAAGATAATTATCATTATTATTACCCCCATTTTACATATAAAGAAACTGAGGCAAAAATAGGTTGAGTAATTCATCAAAGATTGTACACAAAGTGGCAAATCTGAGATGTGAACTGACGTACTATTCTCCAAAGTCATAACTCTATTATACTGTATCACCACAGAGAATGTTATTATTTAATCCATGAATCATACATGAGAATAAAAATAACTTTTCTGACTTTCAGTGATCATCTTTTGGTGTAACCATTCTACCTGGGGCAAGGTCACCTGGCCTTGGAAGGCCTCATGAATCAAAATACAAAAAGTGAATTTTCTAAATAACACATGGATACCTCTAGAACTTGAAGACAGACTCTTACGGGGCTTTCAGCACTGACTATATGTTCTGTATCATCCATTCTCGTGCTTTCAGACCCCAGAGAAACACTTCTTTATATCACTTCTCCTTTGTCCTTAAATGGAAAGGGAACTGTATCTAACTAGACACAGTAACCTAGCTTAACTTCCAATTGAGGATTCCTCTGCCTCTGCCTTCCAAGTGCTGAATACTTTAGTATTTATTTATTT